GTGAAATATTTTTCTTTTTCCTTTATTTTCTCGGTTTGTTTGAAGGTGTATACAGAGTTGTGAGCTTGTTGTATGTGTCGTGAAAGTGACGATGATGCCATTTATTCAAGCTGTAGAATGAAACTGGAGTTTCTTACTTGCTGTGATTTTGTTAAGGGTGTTATGTTCCTTCTGTGGCACGTGTCATCTCCCACGAAATAACGTTACAGCGTGTCAGCTACAGCATTGCACTCGTGCCCCCCTTCTCTTCGCTTCTCTGTCCCTATTCAACACCTTGCTCTGATACACTGCTCTGCAAAGCTGAAACTGTACTGTGAGGGGAGGGGGGGGGGGGTGGGGGGGGGCTGGGTTGCGGGGGGGGGAGAAAAAGGGCTTCGTTGAGAGTGAGTATTGTACATGAAGAAGCAGGGCTCTCATGGGCTGGGCTTTCCCTGTGATCCAATCCACAAAGGGGATCAGCTTCCCAAAGTCCACACAGGTAGAAGGGAAAATTGAGTTATCATTGTAGTATGTATAATGCATCTTTTGTCTCTTATAAGCTTGGTAATTAGAGTAATAATCAAAAAAGAAAGGAGAAAAGGAGGAAATTAATAATCAGAGTGCGTTTGCCGGGAGTCGAACCCGGGTCTATTGCTTGGAAGGCAATTATCCTAACCGTTGGACTACAAACGCTTGTTGCGGTAAGCATTTCAGGCATACAACAGTGCAGACGAAGCTCGGAAGAAGAGTAAGGAGACCTCAAGCAGAGCTCAAGGCCGATCGTCCTCAGATACAACAGAAGAAGCGAAGTACTCGACGAAGGACGGAGCAGAGGCGATGAAGGACAATGCAGAAGAAGTGTTCATATATAGACAACAGCAAAGAAGGCACGAGCCGTCTTGTTGAAGGTGCTCAGTTCGTAGGGGAGAAGGCGAAGGAGACGGCTGAGGAGATGAAGGAAAATGCGGTCGGAAAAGGGGAAGATGGGAGGAACTGAGACTGAGCGAAGAAGATGGAAATGTTGAAGGTTCAATAACAAGATCCGCTTCATAATTTACAAATATCTACCGTTGTTTAGCCCCTCAATGTAAGTAGCACATTTTATGGCTATATCCTATATTAAAAAAAGGGCAATTTTCTGCATTTTTTCTCAACGAGCTAGCCTTCACATTTTAATGGCAAGTATACGATCAATCTGTGGTATAGCAGCGGGGTTTTCCCTCACAAAAACCACCTGAAAATAAATTTTTTTTACCTTATGCATAAGTCATCTTAGAATTATCTTAGATTTATTTTTTAGTTAATTTTTTTTGGTAACTGATCTCACGCAAACTACTCCTATTAAGAATCGTCTTCCTCCTAATGTTCTCGGCACGTGACCCAGTTAATTATTATCGTAAAATTGATAAAACCTAAGTTTAAACTGAGTTAAAGTGAATATTAATGGTTGGTTATAATAATGAATTATTTAAAAATGGTCCAAGGTGTGAAAAGGAAGGGGGGCAGCGCCTATAATTTGACGTAATTGATTGCCGATGTAAACAATTATCATGTCAGATCAAGTTTCGACGTGTGTGGCGACCCCTCGTCGGGTTCCCCCGTTGCTTGCAAGTTGGACTTGTCCGAGGATGTTGATTTGACGCCGTGCCTGCGGTGCGGTGTGAACAGCGAGTCCAACTTAGCACATGAATTGGACTCGTAAGGTTTTAAATTTCCTTTTTAAACCCATGTTCAAATAGATTGGAATTTTTTTTTTGGAAAAACCAGCAAGAATGTTTCTTTTTCCCGGAATACATTTCCTAGACACGGACCATACGACCTTTTGCAAGGGTAAACAAGAATGTTGTGCTCTTGAGTATTACTGGTTGATGATATTGTTGGATAGCAGATTTCTAATATGTTTTGGTAACATGTTATTAGAATTCCTAATCTATTTTGGTAACTTGTTTGGTGAGCGAGCACGCTTCCGCGTAGGCGCGCGACGGATATTGCTAGTGTGACACATTATAATCTAAGTATGGTGGGGTCCCCACGCTTGTAATGTTTGATTTTATGCTTCAAAAATGTCTCACGGACTTGAAAATGGGACAGACAGAGGGGGACAGTTGAGGTGCCCCCCCTTTAATTGCATAAGAAAAATTCCCCAAGGACCCAAAATATGGGACCAACAGGGGGGACAAGTGAGGTGTCATCCTCCTATTGTATAATGAGTTGGTCATCATTAATGTTGGTCGGTTCATTATGCAATAGGAGAGGGACACCTCACATGTCCCCCCTGTTGGTCTCATATTTTAGGTCTATGTAGCAAAACTCATTGTATAATGAGCTGACCATTTATGCTTATGTTCAGTGGCGGAGCCACACTAGGCTTGCTCTGGGCAGCTGCCTAGGGCAAGAAAGTGAAAATTGCGCTCCGCCCCCTAAGAAATGGCAGCGCCTCGGCCGCAACATCGCCAGTTCCCTCTCCATCCTCAAGTCCAACCTCCTCGATTCCGCCTCCTCGATCTCAAGCTCCACGTCCGCTTGGGGTTCCCTGGTCCGCATCCTCACTCAACTATACCCGACTCCCAGTTGCCCGACAAGCTGCTCACTAACCTCCACCGACATTTTGACTATCTTTATTTTTCGCCCAGGGCAAAAAAAATTCTTAGCTACGCCACTGCTTATGTTAGTGACACGCCAATCAATAGCACAGAAGGGCGCAGAAGTCCCAACTTGCTCTCAATAACAAATCCTTTATAACAAAAAAAAAAGCTACGAATTATTGAAGACCATCCATAAATTTATAAAAGTTTGATTATACATGTCATGAGTAAAACACACACGTCATATAGAAAATCTTTATCGATAAACATAGATCATGAAAAGTTTAAAGTTCAAGACTAACTTTAAAAAAAAAACAAGTAAAAGATACGTTCAAACTAAAGTTCTTTAGGACAAACTGAAGCTCCGACTTTATTAAAGGCGTCAATAATAAGTGACCGTAAAATAATGGGGGGAAAAAGAAAATTATACCTGTGTAATAAATTGACGGCTGTTTTACCGACAGTAAAGTCCAACCATTGACGGGCCGGATCTATACCGCACCAAGTCCACAAACCCAATAGCCCGGGCAACCACCAGCACCTCCAAAAACCAATACTATATAGAGACACAAATCTCTCTCGCTCGCCCACAACAATCTCTCTCTAACCTTTTTCCTCTTTTCTCTCTCCTCAACCCATCTTCTCTCTCTAGGCGTTTTCACCGATCAAAAAATGGCCGGCAGCCTCCACCGCCACCCAAACGCCGACGGACTCCGCTTTCCTGGTTCGACGGCTTTTGGCCCTCCGGTTACGCTGAGCTGGCTGCTCACCAGATCGCCCGCCCCCCATCTCACGTGTGGAACCCAGACGATGCAGGATCTCGTCCCGGAGATCCCCGCCCTCACCCTTTCCCGCCTTCCGTCGTTCTGAGGGGGCACGTGGCAAGCCGATCCCCGACCCGCGTACAGATTCGCCTAAGAGGCATGACGGACGGTTTGCAGCCGCGGCGACGCCTGTTTCGATTTCGGATCTCCGGGTTCTGGATGTCGGGATCCGGATCCGATTCTGGATCGGAGCTCGATGAGTGGTGAGCATGAGGGGTGCGCCTCGTCGGAGATGGTGCAGGAAGAGGAGGAGGGTCGGCTGGCGGTGCCTGACGTCAGCGATGATGGTTGTGAGATGAAGGTAGGTGTGGTTTTGGTTTTGTTTTTGTTTTTGAAACTGAAGCCATCATTTCTTTTTTTGGTAATTTTCATAAATAAACTTTATGTCCAAATTTTCTCGAAAACAGTTGAAAATATTATTCAAGTTTTTTTTTTCTGTTGTGGATTTTTCTGACGTTGACCGGAAGTTTGCTTACCAATTATTAGTTGATTTTTGTATATAATAGTTTATGGATTTGGTTAAATATTTTGAAGTTTAAAAAAAAAACTTTTTACTTTGATATTTCATCTTCACATAGACTGAATTTTTCTGTCGGTTTTTAATTGAATATTTTCGTAAATACAATTCTTATGAAAATATTATTTACGATTTTTTGTGATAATTTTACTTTCATTTCTCATGAGATATTAGCTGGAAATTTTACTTTCATTTTTGAAGATTCTCCTGAGAGTTTTACTTAGATTAATGAAAGGTTTCTCCACCAATTTTGAAGATTTTTTTTAATGACAATTTTATTAGATTTTCATCCGATATTGAGCGTAAAGTTTTTTGCTTTGGTACGCGTTGGCCGGTATCCCAATCACGTGCCTGCTCTAATTTTTCCGTGACTATTTTATGACAAAAACGCTTGGTTTTTAACATTTATAACCCCAGTTGGATCTTTCTGTACTTAAAATATATTATTTGGACTTTTTTTTCACTTGAACCGTAATTATTTTGACAACCTCCCCTCCGCTTTAATCGGCCATCCTCCATTTTCATCAAATTTACTGGATTTGCCACTGCCATTTATGGAGGGGCAATTTCGTAAATTAAACGGGTGTATTAATTAGCCTCATCCCGGCCACCGATATGCTGACACGTGGATTTTCCGATGAATTGCAGGCGCCGTCGCTTATCGAAGGCTCATCAGCGTCGGATGGAAGGATAGGGAAGAGAAGGGTAATTCAGCTTACGCCTCTTAATTTTGTTTATAATACAAAAAAAAAAAATCGTGGCAAAAAGTTCCTTTTTTTAAAAGTGTTACTGTGATTATTAATTATTGGAGTTGTGGTTGGTTGGTTTGCAGACGTTATGTGAGCTTCAAGAGGAAGAAAAAGTATTGTTAGGAGAGAAGAATGAGCTTCAAAAGGTATAGTTTATTATTTGATTTTGCTTAATTAATTAAAATGTCAAAATTAATAGTGTTGGGATTGGTTGGTTTGGTTTCTAATAATGAGTTGAATTAAATACAACAGGAGATGGAATTGAGGAGGAAAGCTTACGGTGCTTTGGAAGCGGAGAACCAGAGGCTAAAGAGCCAACAGGTGACCACACCCTTATTATCCCTTTCTCTTTTGGTTGGGGCCTCTTCATGAGCTTGGCTTTTATTCTGTTTCTATCACGAGTGTCTTGTCTTCATCTTCCTGTTTGAGGAATAGTTAAAACTGCTTGTTGCTTTCTTTGGTAACCTTTGGATAATAAACTCAAATGCTAAGGACAACCGGTAAGAGAGACCAATGAAGGGAAACTAGCTTCAAGGAATGGAAAAAAAGGCTGAGCAAGCTCTTTTACGTTTAACTTCTATTTATGGAATAATTAGTAGCTATAATAGATAAGGTGTATTCAAAAGGTCCCGTGTTTGGGCCTTAATCAAGTGGTGGGACCAAATCTACATTGAGAGACTCAGGCCCGAATTGATTTCTTTCTTGGGCTATCTGATACGGTAATTGAACTTCTGTAGAATTATGTCATTATGGTTGCTGATGTTCTTGACAATTAGTAGCTTTACCAGTATCACATTATGTGCATATTTGAAGGAGGTTGGAAATGATTAGTACATGCGTACAAAGTGCAAACGTGCCGCAACTTCAGCTTAACAAAATTGTCGATCAAAACCGTATGCAACTTGATTCTTGTTTATCATCAGTTTTGAATGCACTGTAAATTTTGATATAGGTTGTATTAGGCTTTGGTTTTGATTTAGTCCAACTGGAAATTTCAACATGTTGCTTTCCTGTGAGCTTGTTTTGGCATCTTTTCACTTCTAGCGCGCAAAAAGGAACTTCTATTAGAGCATGCTTAAAAAGGAACTTCTATTAGAGCATGCTTAAAAAGAAACTTCTATTAGAGCATGCTTATTTTAGTCAATGAAGTAGCTAAAATTTTGGTAAGGATATGTGACTTTTGCACTGAAATTTCATTTTTAAAAGATGTCGATGAAATTAACCTGAATTCCCTGCCCTCTCTTAATCCTTTGAATCAGCGAAGTCACGTGCTACATTATTGCGGATGACTTATTTTGTGCTGTGTTGTTACTTTCAAAAAAAAAAAAAACCCACCATCTCCCTTTAAAAGAAAGTATATCCTGATTAAATAGCTGATCGGATGTGGATACAGATATACATATCCAACCCAGGTGAATATGGGTACACAGTACAACGTTGATATGGTATTTAATTATTTGTCCAATGTTGGATACGGGTCTGGGTTAAGTGATAGCTGATATGGTCTTTGATTATTTGTCTCATGCCCCTAGACGTCTAGTATGTGGTGACTGTATGGCTATCCCTTGCAATCCATAGTCCATATGTAGAAATGCACAATTTTATTTTGGATTTTGTTTAAAAACCTTCTATATCAGTAAACAGGCTGCAGTTCTTGTTAGCTGTCTTGTCCATGTTGCATAATTATTGCATTTAAAAATTATAGTATGGTAGTTTTTACTTTAATACAGTTAGCACCTCAATCACATGTTTACAGCTAATAAAAATAATAATTACAAGATGAAATTACTTTCAGCTGCCATTCTTTACCTTTATGCTGCACGAACACTTGAATAAGTTTATATATTAGGTTATTCAAATCATATTGAAGAAAACAAAGGGATCAATTTGGTAGAATAAAGGCATTACATTTGTGTACTTATGCTTTCTAGTTCGACTGTTACAAAAGTTGGTCATATGAAGTTGCATATTAAAATTTTAAAATGAAAAGTTTTCCCCCCAGTTTCATTCTTTAAAATGTTTTGCTATAGCGAGGATAATCGCCTGAAATCCATTACTGCTTCTGATGGAAAATTCTATTTTTTTTCCTTCCACAGATAAGTTTTGAGGCAGAAGATAGAGTTTCTGTCAAGTCTACAGCAGCAGCCTCAAGTTCGAGTTCTCACTTCATTCTCCCAGACCTCAACGAACCGCCTTCAGAAATTTTTTGACCGACAAAATGGATGAGATGAGTTTGATTTGCAAGTGGTTTTAGCAAATAAGCACAAAATGTACATAAAGGGACATGTAGTTTCATAGCATGAGGAGGGTTAGAGGATAATTCTGTTATCCGAGGCTTGTTTTTGGACAAGTGATCAATTATGTTAACTTATTTCTTTTAATATGTTCTTCTGTTATTAAAACCGATTGTTTGTATCATATTCTTTTTGATGATAGTTAAAGTTGGGAATTTGTTAATCAATGTTGAGTACTGTTAATCTCTTCCTTCATGTCGTCTGATCAACTGGATGCAGTTGATGCAGCCTATTAACTTTTTTGAAGTCTAAACTCGCACAGGCTATAGAAGGTCAGCATTTTTGTGTTTCTATGTATAAAATGGTAGAAATTATTTGGCAGATATCCACTAGATGGATGGCGGTCCTAAAATTCTTATATTGAATCTTATTGTTGGGAGATGATGCTAGGCCCAGCCTACTGCTATTAATTGGAATATTGCTGATGGTTCCTGCTACTGATTCTATTCGAGTTGATATTTTCAAAACTCTCCACTTACGCCAGGACTGTAGTGTGTCGCGGAGTAGTACTTTTTAGGTTGATGGTTCGAATTCGGCAGGTCGGATATTTTTATCTCCATTTTTACATAATTTTTTATTCCGCCTAATCAAACAAGTTCGCGACTGCAAAGCCACCTTTGTCCTTGCCGGGGTCTACTCAAGGTTGCACTCCTCGAGTACGTATCCTATCAGAACGTCTCGCACTATGTGGGGCGTTCACAAGGCGTTTTGATCCAAACACGATGTCCAAGAGAAGGGAAATGTTATGGCTTATGTGTGATCCGCAATGTCCCGCATCAGAACGTCTCGCACTATGCGGGGCGTTCACAAGGCGTTTTGATCCAAGTATGATGTCCAAGAGAAGGGAAATGTTATGGCTTATGTGTGGTCCGCAATGTCCCGCATCAGAACGTCTCACACTATGCAGGGCGTTCACAAGGCGTTTTGATCCAAGCACGATGTCCAAGAGAAGGGAAATGTTATGGCTTATGTGTGGTCCGCAATGTCCCGCATCAGAACGTCTCGCACTATGCGGGTCGCTCACATGGCGTTTTGATCCAAGTATGATGTCCAAGAGAAGGGAAATGTTATGGCTTATGTGTGGTCCGCAATATCCCGCATCAGAACGTCTCACACTATGCAGGGCGTTCACAAGGCGTTTTGATCCAAGCACGATGTCCAAGAGAAGGGAAATGTTATGGCTTATGTGTGGTCCGCAATTTCCCGCGTAACATTTGGTCTTGATAAGAATGTTATACGCCCTCGTCCGGTATAACTAGCCTAGGGTCTCTCTCTTATTGTGCTTATGGTCCTTCCTCGTCTCCCCTTGAGATTGATCTCCAGGCCCTTACAACTGGACTTCGTTTTGCTCTTATGAGGGATTGGAAGGATGTTTTATTGGACTATCATGACCCGGTTCTTACGTTGCATGGTGTTATATTGGAAACATACTTGTCTTGACCTGGTTCTTACGTTGCTTACCCTCACTCTCTTTCGAGCTACTTCGATGTTTGTTGGGCTCTTTTTAAGAGCTTCAATTACTCTCTTGTAAGCTATGTTCGCCGACTGGGGAATGTTTGTGCATACATGTTAGCTCAATTTGCTTTCAGATATCTACTTGCCTCCTTTTTATGATGCTTGAGATGACCCAAGTCATATTTGTGATTAAATTCTCATTGATACTATGTAATTAAATCGTTTAAATTCCTTAAAAAAAAAGAAAAAGAGTGAAAATAACCCTAACTCGGTGACATCACGTGCCGGCCCACAAAAGAAAAGATCAGTTTACCCTTAGGCCCGTTTGGTTGCTTTCCACCATTTTCCGTGTCCAACATTCCTTCATTTTTCGGTGATTTCTTCACTTTCATGGAAAGTTGTTTCTTGTGTTTGTTTTTGTCAAAAACATGGAGAATAATTACTTTTTATTACTTTCGTTTGTTTGGTTCAATTTAAAACAAGAAGAAAGTAGTTGATGCATGAACAGATTTCCTCATTTTTTAGTGTTTGTTTCAAACTAGAAAAATAAAGAAAATATGATTGTGGTTACCATGATGTGATTATCAAGGTGAAATGAGAGGGAGAACGATGCGGTGATGGTAAACCGTAGGGAGGGGAAAGGAGAGCGGAAAAGCAAACATAACCATATCCCTAATTTTTTATCGCCTTGAATCAGTTTTCAGTCGATTCGGAGGTTTTGTGAAGAAAAGTCTTCTTTCCAGCTTACATGAGTTGGCAACTGTTTTCGATTTTCTTTCATTTTTTTTTTCAAGAAAAGGAAGTAAAGGGCTAAATACCCATATTGGTATTTTAATTCAACCCCGTTTGCCAAGAATGTATTTTAAATAAAAAAATCGGCGTTAAGGCATTTTAATTGATTAAAATTACCAATTAGGTCCTTTTTCTCGTCGGCGACCACTTTTCCGGCGAGAACTCGTTGTTTGCTGTGAAAGTTGCTGTTTTCATTGCTATCGAATCTATTACAACTTTAGTCGTTACAATAAACTCGAATAAAATAAAAGAAAAGTTGATCTTTTTATAAGATCTCCTTACACAATGAAAAAAAAAAGTTTACAACTTTATCAAACAAACGCAGAGATCGTTTATCGGTCTTCTGCTTGCGTGGGTGTCTTTGCCTGTGCCGGGGTTTATCCGTGGACCACCGTCGATCAGATTTGACTGCTGAAAAATTGGGCAGAGCTTCGTCTATCCGCGAGGGGATCGAGAAATCTGTAGCGCTTATCTCGACAAAAGCGAGATAATTGCTCTTCTTAGAATTACCACAACGAGATAATACTAAGGATTGGATGCGGGTGATGTAGATCTGACGAATCTCTCTCTCTTGCGTTGAAGAACTAGATCCGATCTCTCCTCCTCCTCTCTTGAAATCTGTGCACTTTAAGTCTTCAATCCGGCAGGGCTTCGCCGCGGCCCCAGAATTCCAGCCCTCCAAAAAATGAGGCCTAAGGCTTGTATTTATAGGCTTGAGAGGATAACAGAGCGGTTAAAAATGCCTTAAAAGCCCAAACCTGCCTTGGAGACACCCCAGGGTGTCTCTACTTGATTGGAGACACCCTAGGGTGTCTCCCATTGATCCGAGACACCCTAGGGGTTCCTTTTGTAAACATCGCGGGGCTCCCGATTAGCCCGTACCTTCGTTAGTTCACGTAGTTCGTCGATTTACTTCAAGCGTTCATCGACATCAATCGAACTCCTGTGAACCGGATAGTGACGTTCATCGTCATTCCTTAACACTGAGCTGTTCGTGGAGACCTATAGGTAATTTTCGATGCCTACAGATATCCCCTCCAAAGCGTTCCGGACTCGTTTCTTTTATAGAAAAGGCTAGAATACTTTGGATGTGATTGGTCTAGCCTTCAGTCGGCGTAAAGGACCTGTAGTTAGCTGCAACTCTTGACTCCTTCGATTTTCGTTCTATTCAATGCTTTGACGAATAGCCGAAGTTCTTCCGGCGCTGCGTTTATCGCCTGACCGTCGTCGGAGTCTCGAGTCTATCACCGGTGAGTTGAGTTTGGCTCGTGTCATTGAGTTGACTTTGAACTGACTATCTCCATCATGATATATTGATTTGCGCTGACTTTTTGATCGCAACGCGTTGATCGGTGTTGACCTAGGGTTACGCGTTGACCGGCGTTGACCCTCGGGTTTCGAACGTCGTACGTTAACACAATTTATACTCGTACGTTTACTGGAGTATACACAGTTTAAGCTCTTAAGGTATTGGAGCACGGCGGTCCCAAGTGTCGGAGCTGCAGGACCAACTGTTAAAGCTGATTCATCTGCATTTGTGGATCTTATTTTAATGTTGTTGGATAATCGAGTCACGAGACCAACTAACAGAGCTGATGCATCAATGACTCGCACTTATAGAATTTTTGGCAAATTCTCAGCCATCAACGGGTTTGATGAGCCTTTACCGACTACCGTTTGAGTCGGGCTAGCATGCAGATTGTTTAGATCCGTTCTGCACATAACGTTGTCTTTCTCCTGTGAAAAGACTAAACATCGACGTGTATCAGACGTTGACTTAGGATTTTTGGCAAATCCTCAGCCCTCAACGGATTTAACGTGCTCTTACCGATTACCGTTTGAATCGGGCTTACATGCGGATTGTTTTAAGCTCATTCCGCATGTGATGTTGTGCTAAATGAATGGACTCCCTTAGACTTGATGCTACGACTTCGAATACGTAGACTTCGCCATTGTTACGGGAATAGACTACCCGGCAACGTGTGTTAGGCGCTGACTTATCCTTACTTAGGATTCAGGATAAAAGTCCCCAGACTCGGATTATGGTGTCTTTTTCAATCGGTAAAAGACTAAACCGACAACGCGTGTTAGGCGTTGGCTTATCCCTGCTTAGGCTTCGGGATAAAATTCCTCATGCGTGTGAGGCACGGATTATGGTGTTATTAATAACAACCTGCCACAATGTTGAATATGTGGTCTTTTGTCCTTTTTACGGTCAAAGACTAACCGGCAATGCGTGTTAGACATAGACTTTGGGATTTTTGGCAACCCCCCAGCCATCAACGGGTTTGACGTGCCTTTACCGATTACCGTTTGAATCGAGCTAGCATGTGAATTATTAAAACCTGTTTCACATGTAACGTTGTGCTAAGAGAATCGCTTCTCTTAGACTTAATGCTATGATTTTGAATACATAGACTTCGCCATTTCTTACGGGAATATGGCATCGGCAACGCGTGTTAGACGACAGACTGGAAAATGGAAGAGGATGAATTTTATATTCTATCTCCCGGCACTGAAGAGGAAGAATTTTATATTCTATCTCCAGTTGGAAAGGAAACTCAAGGTGGGATCTCCACCCTCAGAATCCGAAATGATGAAACTAAGAGTGGGATCTCCACTCCGAGAATCGGAAAGATTCAAACGACCCTAACTTTTATAGGATTGGTCATTCGATCCAAAAAGAGTCCCTCATTTATTGAGGAGAAAGCCCAATTTCGACCCTAACTTTTATAGGTTTGGTGGAAAAAGGAAAAGATGGAAGTCTTTCGTTTATCGAAAAGGATAACTCAATCTTAGTCCTAACTATCTGCAGGTTTGACTAAGTAAAGTTGGAGACAATCCTAACTTTTATAGGTTTGATTGCTCAATTGAAAGTGGACCTCTCATTTATGAAAGGAATCGAGAGGAGAATCTAGTT